CAGCAGACAGTTTGAACGCTTCTCAAAGCACTGATTCTCAATGGAGCCAAATTCATCTCTGTTATAATCAGCCATGTGAACTAATTACCCTTGGATGTACTTTCTGATGCTACCAGTTACACTAGAAAAATTACCTAATTAGCATTCAGTGGTCAGAAAGGCTCATTCCTTTATCCTGAAGAGAACCTCAGCACGTAGCAAGTAGAGGGCCAGGATCTGCAACTCAAACCTGAATATGCTGGGGTCTGGGGAGAATTCAGAACCAGCTCTGCCTTTTAGCCTGATTCCATCTCTTATTTTGCCATTGGGTTTAGGTTCAGATGAGCACCCAGCAGTTTGATTACTTCCCAAAATTTCCAGGATCTCTTTTGCTGCTGCTGAGGGCAATCAACCTGACTCCATGACCTAGTGTAAATCAAGAATAGTACCTGTGATATCGCTTGTGATATATTGCTATGAAAAAAAGGTGAAAGAAGAATCAGGTCCCCTTAGAGTAGGTTTTCTTCTGCCTTGCCGATTTTCTTTCTTTTTCCAAAACTTATTTAAAAGGAAGTGCTTCAGAAAACAAAAAAAAAGACCACAGATGATCCAGAAACTTCTACTAGTGTCTGAGTTTGTTGTCTTTTCCCCAAACCCAGCTCTAGAGGTTCAGAGATGTGACATGAGCAAAGAGATGTATTGTTGTGCTTTGACCTGACTCACGAGTTTGATTCATACTGGCCAAATGCCCAGTTCAAAATCACCAGTTTGGACATGTGTTTGGCTCCAGGTCAAATTTCTGGTTTTCCCTTCATAATGGGACCAAATCAAACTTGGAGTGGACTTGTGGGAACGTTAGGCTATCAGAAACCAGCTCTAGGATCCCAAATGTTGTGGGTTTTTTTCCTTACCCGCCGTTTGATATCCCCACAGTACTCAGAGTGTGAAATCAGATGTGGCTTTACAATGGGAAGACATAAACAGCCTCGGAGAGAAGAGGTCTGTGTTTAAAATGACCTTCTCTTGAGTTATCTGAGCAATACCAAAGGGGATGTGGACAGTGTGATTACACAAGGGGTGAATTATTTTGGGAGTATATTTCTTTTTTCCTTTGGGATGTTTTAAAGTCAACATGTTGTTAAGTAATCAGATATAGTCATATTCTGAGAAAACTTGGACCTTTCCTGTTGTTAAGCAGCAGTTAATTGCTTCAGACTGCGAGCTCTTTTTTACTAGATTGTGTCAGTGACAGGACACAGCCATGAACACTTCATTTCTCTTGTTTCTTCATTTTCTGAAAAGGGAAAGCAGGATTATTTTTGCTTGCATTAGTAAAGAGTAAGCCCCCCAAAGCTGTCCGTGCCTTATTGCAGCCCTGGAGAGTTTATTGACTCATGGAGGAATGGGGTTATAACGCAGAAATGGGGTGGCTTATACCACACCTCCCTGTGCTCTGGCTCCTCCAATTCAAGCGTTCGAAGAGCCTGGGAGGGACCGATCCTCCAGGCAACCCAGCTCACATCCCAGGCAAGCTTAATGCCATGAACGGGGAAAGTGAGGCACAGGCAGTGTGTCTTGCTCACCACCAGATGATTCTGCAATGGGGCTGTGTAGAAAACCTGGGCCACTGTGGTTGCTTGCTTGAAATAAAAATATTTTCTGCTCGTGTAATTCTGACTTTGGGATCAGGGCTGAGATGAGCAAATCCTGAGATCAGAAAAGCAAATAATCTTTGGGGAACGTCATGTTTGTGACAATATCAGACACAGGGAAGAGCCAGCTACGTGCAGGATGAGATACTGTGAGGGTCAGCTGTGAACGAAAGGAACTGAGAAGCTGGCTGGGGAGCTTCAGCGGGGCCTGGTCATCAGGTGGCGAGTTGTGCTCATGCACTTGCAGTTTGACAGTGCTCACAATTAGATTGCAAGTCTTAAACAGCAGCTAGAAAATTATGGAGTGGACTAATAGTCACAATGAAATCAGGCTCATCATTGGCTGGATTAGGAGTCTCTTAGGCACTCTGATTAGGATTTAATATGTAGAAAATACTGTTTAAATCAATGGAACCATTTACGGCGTAAGGCAAAACTCAGAAAGGACCAGGAGTCCCAATGAAAGCAAATATGTTAGCTTTGTCTAACAGTGGGGCATTATATTCTTTTTTTCTTTACTAAACTCATACTGCTAGAGCTATGGGTCTTCCCTGTAGCAGGTCGGGACAACAGAGCTGAAACCAGAAACGTGACCACTCTCCCCCAGGTTAGCATGTGATATTTGGCAAGAGTCTAGACTTGCATTCTGGTTGAGCACTGGAAAGACATCGTTGCAGCCCCAGTATAATTTACAGACAATTTATTTACCTTCATTTCATAGTTAACTCTATCCTATTATTATTTCACTGGCCAAATGCTTTGCTTCTGTTATTTTTACTTCTAAGTTTTTGCCAGCTCTGCCACAGACAGGCTAGGAGCCCAGAAAGTTTGGTCATGACTCTTTCTTCATTACTGCATGAAAGAAAAATGTGCATGGGGTTTTGGCTTCGAACAGAACATTGGAATTAGTGAATTAGCATGACCAAGATAAAACCCATTCTGATTGGCATCGGCCCACTCTGCACGGAGGCAGGCATGGGGCTGTTTTCAGCGCCTGGCTCCCTTCAATTGCTTATTGATTTGAGACTGGTTCATTTGAATTTTTCACAAAGCCACATCTGTTCACCTCTTAAAGATTTACTCCAGCTTAATATGAATTAAATATATGAAAGTCCTAAGTGCAGCTTGCTTGATGTCCTGAGTGTTCCTGCTGCAGAACTGAGCTGAAGTTAAGAGCATATGAATGCATTACATGAGAAGAAGACTGCTAACGGGTGGACTGGCATTGGCCTCCCTTCTTAGCATGAGCATAATTGCTAGGAGGTTATTAGTAACTGTCTCTAAACTCTACACTTCTCCCTCCCTCTACAGATCCTTTCTGGCCGTAGTGACTTAAAAAAGAACTCATGTATATTTTGAAGACCAGACTAATGTCTCTCTGGTATAGTTCTTTTTCTCCCTTACACAACCAGGAGTTCACTTCATACAGATGGCGCCACAAAGGCAGGCACAAGAAATTCTTCATTGTGTATCATGATGGATACATCAGACAGCCCATCCTTGATTCTCCTTTACTTTGTTGAAGGACCAGTCCTGATGTTCTGGCATTTTTAGGATTTTCATTAAGCTCAGCTTTGATATAAGATTTGAATAAAAATTGAAAGCACATCTCAAGATTTCATCCGAGGAAAGGATGGCAAAATAGCAAATAATATTCTTTTGTATATCTTATTTTTTAATATTTATCCTGTTTGGATCATGTGGGGAAATGGATCTAATTCACAGCATTCACCCCTATTTTAGCTGCCAGCAGTGCAATTCTTGGCAATAATCAATAAGGCTGTTCCCCCTGCAGCTACCCATGATCACAGTTTTTCTCATTAGTCAGCAATCAATATCAGCCCTTAAGTTAATAATATATTATGGTGGCATTATGGCAGCTGGCCTTGTCTGTCTCTTCGATTGAACTGAACGTTAAGGTTCCTTGGAATGGAAAAGAAGGCACAGGGCAGGAATCAATAGCATTGATTTCAGCATCACTTTTTGAAAAGACTGATCATCGTCTTTGCTGGCCCCGGCAGGAGGCTCTTTTCACTCTTTGTTATTACACTCACAGGCCTGTCCAGGGAAAAAAAGAATTGCCTTGATTTGTTCACCTGAAGTCTGCAGTAAGAGTGAATGCCATGGGATAGATGCTCTGTGGCACTCTTGGGGTCACCTTAGGGCTTGGAAGAGGCTCCAGCCTGTATAAAATAGATTTTTTTTTTTTTTTAATGTTCTTTCTAAAAATTGAAAAATACAAAAAAATCCAAGCCCGAAGACATAGGCTATAAAAATGTTCAGACTTTCTTCTAAGATATTCTTTAGCTGAGCACTTTAAGACTTGAAAGAGCGGTATCCACAGCTGTTGTTCGTTGGGTTGGTGGAGGCTGGACTGTGCTCCCTTGGGCTCCCCTTCATGCAAACCAGCTGAGGAGCTGGCTGGTTTGTCTCACACACGTGCAATTTCAGTTTCAAGCAAGGTGCTGTTTTGTGGTGATCCAGAAAGATTTTGCTTATGGATAAAATATGGGATCATTATAACGAGAGGCAAATCCTACCTGCGTTTCTTTCTAAAAGGATGGTGAGATTATGCTGCTGCTAATGACAGCCTCCGGTGCGTGTCCACTGCACATCAGGCTCCATTTCACAGACTTTTCTTTTGTATTCGACAGTGACTACAGGTATGTGGCTGCTGCTCTTGCCGTCATGAGGAACGTGACTCTACAGATCAACGAGAGGAAGCGGAGATTGGAGAACATTGACAAGATAGCTCAGTGGCAGGCCTCTGTTCTGGACTGGGAGGTACAGCACCTGCTCAGCCCTGATTTAGGTGCTATAAACCTGAGAAAAGTAAATTCCATGCAGTTGTTTGAATTATACTAGACCATGTAGTTCATTTCACACAGCATGGTCTGGATATATGTTGGATAAGACTCTATAACTGGGATTAAACTTGGGACAGAGAAGACATATTTAGAGACTTTGGAGATGGTACTTAAGATGTAAAACGTTAATGGTACTCTGAAGAAAATCTAAGGTCCAGTTCCAATTTTGACAATAGAAATCTGACGTAACTTTTGCAATTGCAATGCTGTTGTCCTTCGAGTAAGTGACATTTGGGTCAACCTCTACGTGTGTTCTGGCTCTGTGCTTTGACATTGGGGAAGAAGTA